CCAATTTTCCTTCAACGTCTTGAAAGCATGCTGGCAAGAAACTCTCCATTCAAACTTCTAGGCCTTTTTTAGTCAAATCATGTAGTGGAGCAGCTATAGTCTGAGACAACACTCCTCCAATTCCGACATTACTAGCATCACAATCCAGTATGTACGGTAGTGAGGGATTTGGAAGCTTTAAAAGTGGAGCAAAGGCCAATTTTTCCTTCAACGTCTTGAAAGCATGCTGGCAAGAAACTGTCCATTCAAACTTCTGGCCTTTTTTAGTCAAATCATGTAGTGGAGCAGCTATAGTTGCAAAGTCCTTCAGAAACTTCCGGTAATAGGTACAGATTCCCAAGAAACTTCTTAACTCTCCCACATTGTCTGGTGTTGGCCAGTCACGCACTGCTTTCACCTTATCAGGATCAGTTTGCACACCATGCTCACTTACATTGTGACCTAAGTAAAGCACCTCTTTCTGGAACAAGTGGCATTTCTTGGGATGGAGTTTGAGGTTTGCTGCTTTCAAACGCTTGATTACTTTCTCTAGCTGGGACATTTCCTCATCAAAAGTTGTTGCAAATACAATGACATCGTCCAGGTACACTAGGGCTATCCTCCATTTTAGGCCTTCTTTCGTACTGGATCACCCTATTGCTGACATTAATATCAGGGATGTGACTTCTAACAGGACTGAAGATGTCTGCATTAGGGTTTAGCTGCGGGGTCTGGAAGGGGCTTGCCATTGTCTGGGGCTGATTAAGTCGATGGTTAATGTATCCTCCTTGTGTAAAAAACAATAAATCATCCTTTAATGTATCTAATTAGCTTTTAAATTTACTAATATTTTCCATTTGTACTTCTTGCCACTGGTGTTGACTTTCCTGTAGTTGGTGCTGACTTTCCTGCAACTGTTGGAGACTTTCTTCCTCCAACAACTACTGTAATTTCTCTTCTTGTTTGTTTTCTTTTTACTCCAACAACTGCTGTAATCTCTTTTCTTGTTTCTTTTCTTTTTCCTCCAACAACTGCTGTAATCTCTCTTCTTGTTTATTTTGCTGTTCCAGCTGCCACTGTTGCTGGTTTTCTTGCAAATGCTGTAATCTCTCTTCTTGTTTCTTTTGCTGCTCTTGTATTGCTGCCATCAAATTTGATAAGCTGTAGTTTGATTTGCCGCTTCTCATTTCCATTTTTTTTTTGTTATCCCACTCCTGACACCAATTGGTTACGTCTCTGGTCATTATTTAATTTTCCGTAACAATTCTTTCCGTAGAAACTTTAGTGATACCAGTCCTTTCTTAAATAAAACTGGTTTATTCTTTCTGAATACAACTTTGCAATACACTTAATTTCCATAGTCGCGCTATAACAAACGCAATAATTCACAAGGAACGTCTCACGTGCTCGACTCAACTGTCCGTCTCTATCTCTGCAGTTCAATTACATTGTTGCCGTCACTTCTTGGCCGTCTTATGTACAAGAATACCGTACATCTAGTAAACACTCGAGGCTTCAGGAACCTTCGAGAATATGACATGTTACTAGCGTCACATGATTTCCGCTGTCGTAACAATATAAAAGTATAAATTCCAAGAACAGAATCGAATACTGACTCCTCTCAGAAAGTGGCACCTTAGAAACTGAAGGGTCCTAGAGATTAGTTTATGGAAAATTTAAAAATCATGTTCCTAAGACCCCAGCTGTCAAATAGAAGTTATCTTACAATCTTTCCAAATAATAAAATACTTGCATAAGCTTACTGTTTCATATTGTCACATTTTTACATTACTCTTTATTTTTAACCATTTAAATTTTACATACTGTGCATAACAACAATTTCATATATGGCCAAGTTCAAGCAAATTTAGTTTTAAACAGTATAATTGGATGACAAAAAAAAACAAAAAAAAACAACGAAATCAGCACTATCATATTCAATAAAATGCACACAGATAACACACTGATATTTAAAATTTTATTTCATGCCTCTTAAGCTTGTATTCTGGTTAGAAAAAGTATTAACAAATTTCAGAAGAACATGTTTCAGCTTATAGTAATACAGGAAAAAAATTTTAAAACAAGAACATTTCAATTTTAAAGTAAAGAACAAAATCTTGAATTTTTATGAATAAAAGAATATTTGATCTAACCTATCATCAAATATAATAAATTAAATAATTATTACCACATACTTTAACACAGAGTGACTATCCAATATTATGTTAAAATATATTAGTAATTGTTTTTTGTATACATGTGCAGGTTCTCAGATAAAAGAAAAAAGTGGGCACTATTTTCCCCAACCTTTTTTCCAAATTCTCTGTGTTTTCCAGGTTGGTGTTGATAAAAATATTACTCATGTGCAGTTTGTAATATTATGTTAGATATATCAGAAGAATCACATCCAACTATTACTGAAAATCTTATTTAATGCTTATTTTAAGTTGTTTTCCTTGAAACAAACATAAAAGATTTTAAAATGAGACTTAAATTTTATAATTATAATTATGTGATTTCCAAACTCTCACCATGTTGTGTGATCAATGAGAAAAAAGCTTATTCCATTTTATTCAAACTTTTTTAAAAAGCAAGATCATATTTGGTAAAAATGCACACATACATAATGACAAAAATATTCTTTATAAGACTACAGCTTAATAATCTTCCTATGTTGCAGAATGTAAACCACTGGCTAGAATATCAACTGTGTTAAAAGAGCAAAGAAGTTTTAAACTTTCATAATAGGAACATTTAGTGTTTGTTAAGTAATTTCTATTTTTTCTAGTTAATTAATGTATCACTCCATACTTTATATGAGAAGTTCAAGCCATTAAACCATATTCATTCATGTAATGGTGAAAAAGTGAAAGTCTTTTTACACTTTTTATTTCCAGCTGAATAATAGTAAACCGATTTTTACTTGCTAACCATAATACAGGAATTTGCATGTTCAAGAACAATTCAATGAGGAAATTGGTTGATCTGACATATCAAAGCAATACCCAGCAAATCTGTATACTGATATTAGACTCAGATTTAAGTTTTCAAACTTCGTATCAAATTTTTACCTCTTTATTCAAGCCATCATTACCAAACTTATGAGTCTATATTTTCAAAAGGATCCTTTCATTTAGAATGGAAAAGAGAAAAACCAAGGGCAATATAACTGATGTTTTTAAGCTGGTTACTGGATTACATACATTACCTACTGTAATTTTGCCTAAGCTATGAACTGACAGGACATTAATGATTTCAAAAATCTTTATATCTCAAGAAAAACATTTTTTTTCTGAAATTCTGAAAATTTTGCACCTAATGCTAATAATCTTAATTCCTTGAACATTTTATGCACAGATATGGACAAGAATTTAAGTAGCTGTAGTAGGAATGAGGTCAAAAATCTGAGTTTGAGGAGTAGCATGGACTAATTCATTCTTATTGCTGCCAGAATTACATGTACAGTAGTTGGTAAATTATTTCATTATAATTCTCTGCTTATTCAAATTCTAACAATACAAAGTTTTTGAAATTAGCTTTATAATTAGCCATATGCCTCTCAGAACTTAGTGTGATCTCTCCTACTTGAACCAAGCTATGAAAAACTGTGAATATATAACAACTCCAAAAGTTCTACAGACATTGGACACTGCTCTTACTATTAATACGATTAAATCTAAGTAATGCTAAGTTTGATTCTACATAATTAAAATGAAAATGCTGATAGCATTACTAACTGGTCAAGTAATGACAGCTTTACGAATACCATGTAAATACATAATTACATCATTCAGAGTTAACATGATAAATAGTAAGTACAATAAAGCCAAGTTTAAGCTATGTATCAGGTTCTTTAATTGCATATACAAATATTTAAACCATTCTTTTATTGGGTTTTTCTCATAAAAAATATTCGAAATACGGAATATGAAAAACTTGATGTCATTAAATTCTAGAGCTCAAATTTTACTGGATAATTTCTTTGTGGGAAGTATTTTAAATTTCTGTAACAACAGTGTTATTAATGATGACTTAAATATCAAAGGAATTGAATATCTCAGAAGCTAAAATAAAAACTCATAATTGTCTTAGTCATACTTGTTTATATTTTAAAAAAGGATTTATGATGTTCTGGGATTTATTTAGAGAAATTCTTGATTTAAAGTAAAAAAATTATATTGTCATCTTGTATATATATATATGTTATTTTGATAAGGCCTCATTTAAGGTATTGTACAATTTTTGGTTTAATATTACAAGAAAGATACTGGTTTCTGGAAAGATTGCAAATTGAGTTATTAGAATTTTATCATGTTTCAAAATTTTAATTACGGAAACAAGCCTAAACAGTTGGACTTGTTATACTTAGTCTTTGCTTGACTTTTTAGTAAAACTTTTGTGCAAGATAAATTTTGAACAGGTAGACTAAACAGATAGCAGTTATTCAACAACACCTATCACCAACTTTTTTCTGACCAAACAGTGGAATATGACCATTATTATTACAGTGCATTCATGACTCCAAAGTGTGGAGCATGTTTTTGTGGCAATGGGACATGAAACATAAATCCTTGTATCCACATTCCTGCCATGCTAACTACTAGACCACATCCAGCCTGTAGCCAAAAAGAATCAAGTTGATTTGAATGTTTAATATTATTATGGGTATTAATAAGTTGCCTATGAGCAGTCTGTTGAGTGAAGGATAAATATGATTCAAAATGTCAGTATTAAATTTAGCTTAACAATCCTATGTCCAGATTTGTTCTTTGGAATACTCACCTCTTTGTTAAGTTATAAATTTGAAGCATCTTTTACTTGATAATGTAGTGTGCTGTTACTTGAATTGTGATTAAATTTTAGTTGGCTGTAAACACAGATATGAAGGGCTATCTTTAGCTTGGGATGGATTCTCTGTTCTTGGTAGTTGAGGTGGGTGACCATGATGAACTTTATGATTTTCTGTCTCATTGTGCATTGAATTTTGTTGGATGCAAAGGTGGTTTTGATGAACTATATGGCCCTCTGTCACATGATAATGTTCTCATATTTCAGTGGGTGAAGAGTAACCTTGATGCCACAAGTGACACACTGTCACCTTGTTTTCTCTTTAGTACAACTATCAAGAGTGAAGAAAAATCAAAGAGAATGTTTAAAGTGCACTAGAAGTTTTACATACTCTAATTATTTCAGTTGTAAGATTAGTAAACCTGATGAAAAATAAAATTCTTTGTAAGAATACTAGCTTACTAAATTTTCAGTTTACAAAACAAATCCATAACCTGTGGTAAAATACTATTTCTTCTGCTATAAGGTTTGTTTTTTCATTAAAAATTATTTCACTAAAACCCAATAAAAGAGCTTAGTTGATAAAACAAGCAATTCTTTGCATGGAAAATCATAATTCAACACAACTTTGTATTACTTAACTTTAATAAATTCAAGTATTGCGACTTTTGTCTGAATGGAAACAAAGAAAAGCAACGATATAAAAAAACAATGTACAAACAAAAACCTTTTCAAAGTTACTGAAGTAATACTCTTTACATGTATTCTACCAAAATTAAAGATAATTCTAAGAACCTATGAGTGAAAGCAAAGTAGGAGGATTTATATGTCAGTGCTGAATAATTAAGGCAAGTGACTATACATAGAGCAGACCCAACCACTTATGATACAGTAATTTGGATCTCATCTAACAGTTTATTTTTCTGGAAGTGCACTCAAAGCTATATCTACATGAACTCTGATGCTGAAGAATTTTTAAATTACAAGAACTTGAGTAATTTGTAAGGATAAGAGTATAGAACTGATATTACTCAGTAAGTTGAAAAATACAATAACAGCTAATTTTGTAATAAAAATCATTCATGTCCTCTAATAGATGTACGTTATCACTGCAGAGTTTTGGGCTTTTATTATTCCATAAAAATCAACTTTAAGCAGCACATATTTCAAGAGTTCTTTTTACTAACTTTTACATTTGCTAATGCAATAATTTGCAATATGAATTTCTTATATCAATACATTTAGTTATTAAGCATTAAATTATTTTAACTAGCAGTTCAAATTATTTTTTAAACTTAAAAAGATTTATGTGAATTACATTTGGGTAAGGAAACTCTTTTCAGGATTTTTAATAAAAACAATTTCTCTTCCAATTTTCTTAAACTCTGATATCACCTCCTTAACTTTTTGTGGATGACAACAAATAGCCAGTCGAGATTCATGAGGTGCAAACAGTGGAATCAAATATTTCTTTCCAACTCTTTCCATCTCACTGAATGAAACTTGTGACACCAACTCCATCAGCTTTCTGTTGTACATCATGTCCACTCCACGAAAGTATGAAAGCATTGACTGGTATGAAACACTGTCAACAGTCTTCTCTTTTTCAATGAATTCAAACATTAGACTGTTTTTACTAGAATTCAGAAGCAAAGGATCCCATTTCAGGGAACCAGAGAAGTATCCATCAACAACAGCTTTTGCTGCTTGATAGGCTTGAACGATATCTGTGGACTCTTGAAAAATCATGTACAACAAACCATCAGCTGGTTGAAGGTCAATGCTGTAATGATAAGCAAGACCTTGTCCACGGATCTGCTGCCAAAATGGACCTTCAGACTGTGTCAAATATTGGATTAACAGCAATAGAGCTGGAATATCTGGGTCAGAATATGAACTGATGCTAGAAACTGCCTGGATTAAATATGATGATTCTATTGCACCTACACCTATTATAGCACTTAATGGCAAATCTGATGACAATGGGTTTAATGTTTGATGGCAGTGGAGGATTTCTAACTTACTGTGACATAGTTTTGTAAAGTTTTCAGGAAGAAAAATATGTTCCCAAGGCACTTTTGGGTTGTTTTTTGCACATAATTTCTTCACACTGGTTGTCATATGAACTGTTATGTTTTCAGGATTAGTCAACTGATGCCTTAGTTTATCCAATGAATCAACAACTTGTTGTGGATTGGAAATCATCAGGCCAAGAATTTTCTTTAGAAATGTATACTGTCTGTACATGCTATCTGCCCAGTGGTTGCTCCTAGAAGAGAAACACATATTGTTTATGAGAGCTGCAACAACTTCTGAACCGTCTCTTTTAAGATCTGCAATACTGTTGATCATTTTTTTGGCTATGACTGCAATCCTCTCTGGCATAAATGAAGTCTGGTAGATAAGCTTTTGTACCCAATCTACACCTTGAAAATATTTGTTTATTTCAACTACCAAATTTAAATATGCAACCTGAGTGTAACAGCCACTGAAAAAGTTAGCCTCTCCACCAAGACCTGAGCATGTAGACCATCCAACAGTATCAGCCTCAAGCTCTTTCATGACTTTATCCCAAGTAATCAGTTCCTGATTCTGTAGAACTGGAGATTCCACTAGCAGCTCCATCAAAATAGGAAGGAAAAGTCGCAGCTCTGATGGCACAGAACAAGTATTCATGAGTACAAGAATCTGAACAAAGTTTGTCTTCACATCATCCAACTGAAATCTGCATGGCAATGTATCAACAATAAAGTCTTTATTTTTTATGGCATCATCAGCACTGTAGTTATTACTACATGTTACTGAATGGAACTGTATATTAGCTAAAGAAGGAACTGGTACTTTTGAGAGTACATTATCTGGTAATTTTGTTTCATTATTTTTGATTGCTCCCTTTAAAATTTTACCTTTTTCTTGCAATCCTTTCTTGCCTAACATTTTCTTTTGGTTCAAAACACGAGCCTTTTCTTTATCTGCCATTTGTTTCATTAAACATGGATCTGGCTTTCCAATAACTACTACTATTGGAGGCTTTATGAAATAATCTTTAATCAATCCAATCCAAAAATCACTTTTTGCAGTAAGTAAACAGTTTAACAAAGGAATCTCACAAAGTCTTTGCTGCAGATCTCCCAAAGATCCTCCATATAAAAAGTCTGTAATAAGTTTTTCTGCAATTGTGTCATGAGGATCACTTTCAACTTGTCGTAAGAGGTGTTGATGTTTTTTGTGAATCACAGAATTCATTCTTTCTACATCTATAATCTCAGTTCCATCATCAAATTTCTTAAGGATTTCTAAAAACTTGGCTTTGACACTGTTCAATTTATTTTTTGGTACATTTTCAAAAGTCAAGTATATGCATGTCTCAAAGTTCTCAATAATGCTATAATTGACTGAACTGCAGAATGGATCTGGAATTTCTACAAATTCTCTCTCTAATGTTGCTATAGAGGTTTCTGTAAGGTAGTCTAATAGAACTGTGATAGCACTAAGTTGCTCAAACTGGTTAACACAGGGTCCTCTCCACCCTACCATTACAATACCTGAATCTTCATCATCATCATCAGGGAAAGGTACTGTAACATCTGAGCTCTTAGTTAAGGGAGGTATAGGTTTTTTCCAAGGTTGCTCCCCTTCTTCATTATAAGACTTTAATAAAATCTTCTTCTCTATTGTTAGAATAGCTTCAAACAGATCAGCAGGTTTAATTTTTCCTGTAACAATGATACACAGATTATCAGGGCGATAAAATTTGCCATGATAATCTTTCACACGATCATGAGTTGTTTTCTCCCGTATATTCTTCATAAGCCCCCCAGTCTCATACCTATATCCACAATCTCCAGGATACATAGCTCGTAATAAAGTCAGTTTACAAAGACTTTCTGCAGTGTTCTCTGTTCCTTGAGTTTCACAGTACACAACCCCTGCATCTTCTCCTTCACCAGTGACATGGTGAACTTCAGTAAGATAAGCAGATTCCAGCAAGGTAGGATACAGAATATGATCCAAATACACTGGCAGCAGTGTTAGAAAACCTTCAGCTCCTGCAGTTGTTAAAGTATAACATGTGTGGTCAGTGTCAGTCCATGCATTTGTTCCAGATGATAAGCAACAGTTTGCCATCAAATCTAATGTCCCTTTATAAGGAAAATCTTCACTTCCCATAAATATCAAGTGTTCTAAAGTATGTGGCAAACCATCATCATCATGAGCTTCTGTTCCTAAACAAAAATAACCATTCACTACAGGACCTTCAACATCAGCAATATACACTAAAATATTTGTTCTTTTTGACCTATATTTACTTATTTTTATTTCTCCATCTGCTGTTACAGCCGCTATGGGTTCAAAACCAAAATATGACTCTCCTTCAGCAATTTTAGAACTCTTATCACAACCAGAGTCTAAAGTGGAGGAATTGTCTGAAAGTGAAACAATGCAGTTAGTAACTGTATTAGTTTCTCCCATACTGTTCGAAGGTAAAACTGTGATACAGTTAGCAAACCAAATATTCGATATTTTGCTAGAAGTAGTAGACAACCACTGTAACTTGAGTTCGAATCCTTTCGAGCTTAAACTTAAAGTTGGGCTGATGAAAAACCGATAAAGATCTTGATGGGAAAAGATATATCGTATTGTCCTTATCATTCGCCTTCACATAATCCAGTTCTCTGAGTCGTCTGACTCTGTTCAGAAAAATGTATTGCCTAGAGCAGCACAATAAAACTGCTACAAGCAAAATCCGGCTGCCTTTCTAGATTGTTTATCGAGTCAACTATAAATTAAAAGCTACGTCAGCCGTACTATATATATATTAATTATGCATGAGCTTTGTACAAAGAATCGGTTACCAGTTGTCTCAAACGTTATCAAATATATATATATAAACAAAATAGTGGAACTTCGCAGAAATATCAGCAGTTAAGGGAATATAAATAGGATACTCGCTAAAATGTCTCAATACACACTAACAAATTAAGACCAACACCATAACCTACCAATGCGGTCTCTATTGTACATATTTCTTGGTATCTAAGTGCATAAACGTGTAAGACGCTAGCATAATACACAGTGCACTCTAGTGGTTGAAATTCAAACAAGGAAAAAAGAGTAATTTTTATAACTGTTTTCATACAGTAAAGACTGGAGAATAACGTCGTAATATTCTTCTCTGGTTGGGCGGATTCTTTTAAATTAATTGGTGAAAATATTTCGAAGTCCAGCCACGTAACAGTAACAAATTAGTTTATTTCTTCTTTTTAATGTTTGTACAAGCTTCCTTCACCTGTACACTGTTCTAACTTGTAGACTTTGTGGTATATTTCCTCCATTCAGTGAAACTCGCTGTCTGAATAATTCTTTTAGTTCTTCTAGACTATTGCCAGCGAAAATTGATGTTTCAATACTACTTGATTTGACGATCCTGTCTTTAGTTGTTTATCCACGACTTTATTGGACTGTATTTGCTTCGCGAACTGCAAAGTTTCCTTTAAATAATGTACACCTACTTTGATTCAGTGTAATTCGCATATCTTGGTCTGTTATGGCGTCACGTGCCAACGCATTAATTATTTTAGGAGGAATGTTCAGGTAAGATAATTGGGCAAGTCTTTCCAAATCTTCTGCCAAGTTCTGCTAATGTCTCGTGTTTCCTCTGTACCCTGTTCTGGAACTTTGCTCTAGATACTTCCTTCTGATGTATCACTCCAAACCTGTTGGATAAGGCAGCTACTAATGCTTATATTGTTGTTACGGCTCTCAGCTGAAATGTTATTTAACGTTATCAAATCTGGTCCTTTTAGACGGGCAGCAAAATGGATTACTTGTTCACTATTCCATCCATTCACTTCCATGGTACCCTCCCATCGTAATCCATTGGTTTCCCGATAGGTCAATGTTGAATTTGCCAGCTAAATTCTGGAACTTGATTTGGTAGTATTATAGCTGGAGTGGTTCAGGGAGGTCTTTCCAGCAGTAATGTAATACGTATAGACCATATAAGTTCTCTTATCCACTATTTTGCAGTATATGATGTTTTAGGCTGGAACTTTAGAGCTAATGCAGAAAAAGGTGTGACTGGTTTAATCATTGCATTCACCAATACCAATTCATTTTTCAGATGTTTTATTCTGTCATTGATGTCTACCTTGTTAATGTTTCTTTTTACTTCATCAATTTTGTCATTACAGCCTTTCTGTACTTCTTCACTTTTGTCATTACAACCTCTCTGGACTTCTTCACTTATAATCTTTTTGTACATCTTCAACAGTTTCATTGCTCTTGTCTTCAATCAGATTTATTTTGATTTTAATTTTATTGTATATATTAAACCTCTTTCGTTTAACTCTTCTTTAAATTCCCGTCTCTTATATCTTGATCATCTTTCAATTTTCTGTACTGTTACGACAGCGGAAGTCACGTGACTCTGGTAACACGTAATGAGTACCTAGAAGGTTCGTGAAGGCTCGAGTGTTTGCCAGATTTGCTGTATTCTAATATATAAGCCCGACAATCAAAGCGGGAGAGGATTAATCGGAACTGGAGTAGCAGATAGAGAGATTGAAGATATAGACACGGTTAATTGAGTTAAGTGAGCGGTAGTGACCGTAAGAAAAGTGCGTGAGTCGTTGTGAATTATAGAGTGTGTTTAAATTAAAGTGACTGTGGAAATTAAGTGTATTGCAAAGTTGAATTGAGAAAGAATAAACTAGTTTTATTTAAGAAGGGACTTGTATCGCAGAAATTTCTCGGAAAAAATTTCTATGGAAAATTAACAAACGAACACAGACGTAACAGTACATTTCTTCTTGGTCTTCTTTTATTTTTCTGTCTCGTTCTTGATTTTCTTTCAATTTTCTGTTTCACTTTTCTTGATATTTTTTTAATTTTCTCTAAATTTCTTCCAGATCTCGTCTTAATAATTTCATAATCTCAAGTAAACCTTCACTTTAACATTTTGCCCTTGTGATCATCATCTTCAACGGTTGAAGTTCAACTTCAAGTATATTCAAAGTTCTATTTTATTTTCACAAAAATAGCCTCACTTCTAATACTAGTTACTGTAAAGGTGTTGTTTTTTCATTGGGTGTGTTTTTTTAAAATTATACGATGAAAATAATTCGAGGTCTAATCTACATAACGATAACAAATTAGTTTATCTATTTCTTAATGTTTCTGCAAGCTGCCTTCACTTGTACACTGTTGTAACTTGTAGGCCTAATGAAATCAGAGGGGTCTGGTTCGGGATGCTGTAGCGCCCCCACTGTTACATATTTGACTTATATAGCAGCTTATGTAAGCAGACTCCCCTAAATTGAGCTGACTTTAGCAGCACGGGAGCAGCTTTTAGCACCTCCTAATACTTTCAATTGCTCATTGTAAAATCTGTGTGTATAGCCAAGCACCCCTACTTTGCAACTCCTTCCCATACCATTGGAAATACTACGTTCATTGTACCAACTAGTGTATAAATAAACTTACTTGTACATTTTCATGGTTAATCAATAAAGTAGCTGAATACACGCATTAAGGAACAAAGATTTAAAATGCTGAGAAAACAAAGACCCGTCCTTTTGTTGTGACTTTTAACATTATGATATTCCTTAGAGAACACCAGAAACAAAATGGGCTTGGTCACGAGAGCATATTTTATGTACAAGGGTGAATATTTATTTTTTAATGTTTTCTTTGTCATATAGGGTTGCTGATGCAAGATCCAGGAATCTTAACTGATACAGACACAATACCCACTTTAATTGAACAACAGTCAATATTAATTAGTTTGTTTAATAAAAAAAACGTGATAATTAAAGGATAAACCTAACACAAAGCTACGTAATCTCCACAAAAATAAAGATTTGAGGACTTATTCTGTGGAATCACAACTATTGTGATAAAACACATAAAAACACAACGTTTTTTAATACACAAAATTGTAAGTTTTAAATAAATTTAATGTGCATATAAAAACGTTGTTTTAATATGTTTCATTAAACAAATGCATAAGTCTGCCACTGCGAAAACTTCAGTTTCCTTGTGGAGTGAATTTTCACTGGTAAGATGAAAGAGAAGAGACACAGCATGAAGTTCAAATGAAAATAAAACACTTTATTAAGAAAGGAAATCGAAAAAATACGCATTGGCTAACTGTTGATGTGGAATGGTTATTGCATTGCTATTTAGAGTTAAAATGAAATAGGTTGTATTTAAGTTAAAGAAAATGAGACTAAACTACACTTGAAAGTATGTTGATGTCTGTTCTTGAGTATCTCGTCTGCTCCATGTGGATGTAGTAAAGCAGTTATCAAATATATGATAAAACAGGGCATGATTATTCCATGAAATAGTAAACACTTTCTGTGACCAGATGCTAAAACAGAAAGCAACGTCTAGGGATAAATTTAGCAAATTACCTCAACCAGAGATAAGATATTTTAAATTAGAACTAACAAAATTTTAAAATTTTATAATTGCAAAATACAGGCTATAGAGAACTCAGATATATAACATTCAAATATTACAATATTGTTGTGAACTATGTTTTTAACATATTAATTTAGACATTTGTATAATTCGCTAGAGGGAGTTTTTGCACCATGGAGTGATGATATGCGGCATATAGAAATTTCCTGAGTGTTTAGACTTCACAGGACGTCTTAAAGTTTCTAAAGATTTGGAAAAATACATATTACAATAATATAAGAACACCAATGACTTAGTTAGTCAGTGAACTAGTCTGTTAGTAAGCCAGTTTTGAGTTTATGTTGTAGATATGAAAATAAATTTAACAAGTAAGTAACCATTAATTTTATTTGTGTGTTAGGTATATAAAAATGAATAAGTAAATGGAGAGATTTTTAATTTTTTAAGCATTCTCAGCATTTTATAACTTTAAAAAAATAGTTCATGTTTTAAAGCTAATTTAGTGCCATCTCTAATCACGGTTACCTATAAGTCCCAAGTAAATGAGATGAAGTGACGTACAATACTTGCTTAAGAGTCAGTTTCAATGTAGTTGGTAATTTCAATAAATTATAGTAACCAACAAATCCGTAAATATATCAGCTCCCCCCGGTGGATCAATGGTTTCAATACCCGCAGCGAACAGAGCACACTGTGTAACTTTAACAACAAAAAAACAAATAGTTTATTTATATATATATATATATATATTACAAGTTTACAGTATACTCTTCCCACCATACAAATCATTACACTTACCTGACGAGTAGTGGTTAGCGTGCTGGAGTAAGGATTCGAAATTCTGTGGTTCGCACCCAGTAACCACTAAAAAATCGTGTTCTGCAACTTGGGGGCCAGGAATGGTTACAAGAGTGAGAGTCATGTTCCAGTAAATGATTCTAACAATGCATGAGTTAGCGGTGGGAGTAGTTAGGGAGAGACCCTGGTGGCGGAAGTAAACAAACATGACATTGACCCAATTTCGACAAGGTAGCATGAATCAAGCATATATAATTATAGTATGTAAAATACTATAGAGTAATAGTAGAACACGTCACTTCCTGTTAGAAAGGTATAAAAACACCTGTATAGGAGCATGATACAGTAATGGACACTAATTATAGGCGTGGTTTTAAAAATGAACAGTTGTGTAAATACGACCTAAAAATGAAAACATCATGTATTTTATAAAGTATACCTTTAGACAATTAAACGTGCTACAAAAACTCTGTTGCGTCAGCGAGTCACATGACCACTGTGGCGCCCTCTAGTTTCTAGAATTATCCTGTACTTTGGCGAATGTTCTAGTTCTAACTAGATATAGGGTAGGCGGGTATATATAAGAGGGGAAAACGTGACGCGAGAAAAGGTAATGTGTGTGTAGATAGGGAGTAACTGAACTGCAGTCGGAAGTATTGTTGACGTTCGTTGATTAGCGTTTGTTTTAACGCGATTGTTGAAGTTGAGTGTATCGGTAAAGTTATATTCGGAAAGAATAAATCAGTTTTATTAAGTAAAGAACTTGTGTCGCAAGTTTCGTCGGAATGAAGTTACGGAAAGTTAATTAACAAACGGAGACGTAACAACTCCTTACATCATACGACATGACGCCTAAACATGCAATGCCTTAGGACATGACCAAATTTCGACCAGGTTGCATGAATGGAGTATACATAATTATAGTATGTAAAAGTACAATAAAGTAAAGTAAAATATGTAATTTCCTGTCAGAGAGTTATAAAAAACACCTGTTTAGGAGCACAGTACAATAATGGATGATAATTATAGGATTTGTTTTAAAAACGAACAGTTGTGTAAGTATGATCTAAATGAAAACGCCATGTGTTTAATACAGTATATCTTTAGGCAATTAAATGTGCTGTAAAATCTCTTGAAAATCTCCTTACATCACAAGAAATAACTGTGATAACAATAAAAGAGTTCTTGGCAAAATATTTCAATTTATTGCTTTTTATATGATAAATGAAATGAAAATACATGTCTTTTTCTTTCACAATTTATAAATCCAACATGTTTACTGTCTATCATTACAGGATTTACTTTACAACCAAAATAAACTGTACGTTCACTATACATTAACTTTGACAATAAAGAATATATTTTGTATGTCAGTGAGCTTAACAGTCAGAAGAACGAATTTATTTATTCACGCGCTTTACATAACTACATCATTCTATTATTGTAAAAATAAGTACCACGAATATTAAAGTGACAATTTTTCAATATGGCGATATATAGGGATCCTTCGATTAATGCGTTTTCGTTTAGTGCGCTTAAATTTTTTTATAACCAATATTCGATTAGTGCGGTAACACACATTTCACTTTAACCATAGTAATTGAAAAGTAAGTTTTAGGCACCGAAATTAAAAATAGAAAATGGGTAACTATTTTACTTGTCAAGTTATTACTAGAGTGTCCACACCGGGGGCCCCCGACCCCGTCAGCCCGGGGTAGTTTAGCGATTTTTTCACCTCTTGCCCCGGGGTAAAATACTTTAACTACGCCGGGGCAAATCTTTACTATTTTACTGAACAAATATCTTTTTCATAACAATAATTCATAAAAACCATCGTCCTCATCAAAATCATCGTCGTCATGATGATCGTCGTTGTTTATAGGAAACGCACCATAGACTTGAAATATAAATCGGT